TTAACATATTCTATGCACAATTACATTACTATTGGAATTCATTCAGAAATATATGCTTTTAAGGATGCATGGGTTTTATTACTTTAAACAATTATGTTGATTGGATGAGCCAAAAAGTGATTTGTGTTAAGAGATTTGAGAAAACAAAAATTGACAGAGCGCTTTTTTACTAATAAAGTATTTATAATATAGCAATAGCACTTAGACTTATATACCACTTCACAGTGCTTTACAGCCCTCTCTTAAGTGGTTTACACAGTTAGCATTGCCCCCACCAATCTGGGTTCTCATTTTACTGACCTTAGAAGGATGGAAGGTTAACTCAACCTTGAGCCAGTCAGGAAGAAACTGCTGGCAGTCGGCAGAGTTAGCCTGCAACACTGTAGGCTAATATCAATGGAGAGGTTAAATAAAAGAGAATAGAACAAATTGTAACCCAATGCTGGCCATGCAGAAATTGGAGGAGGTCTCGGGAAGACTGGGAAAATTGGGTGCAGGGGACATGGAAGTGCTGGGGGGGGGGCAGAGAAAAAAGTTGTAGGGTGTCCGCATGTGTATGAGTGCAGGGAGGGTGAGGAAAGTGTGTGTGTGTGTATGTGTGCGTGCGTGTGTGTGTGTGTGTGTATAGGAAGAGTGAGGAAAGAGGGCATGGCTTTCTTGCAAGCATACGAAGACCAGGGAAAGAGAGCATAGAATGTGTGCAAGTTACAAGTTCAGGAAGCTAAGGAAAAAAGGGACAAGGTGTGTGCGAATGTAGGGAGGCTAGGGAAAGAGGGCATGATAGTGTGTGTTTGTGTGTGTGTGTGTGTGTGTGTGTGAGAGAGAGAGAGAGAAAGCACAGGAGGATGGGAAGAGTGTGTGAGGTGCTTGAGTGTGTATTTGTGTGAGTGCAGGGAAGCTGAGGAAAGAGGGCAGTGGTATGTGCAAGTGAAAGGAGAAAGAGAGTATCATGCTTGTGAGCAAAGAAAGGCAAGGGTGGGTGAGACTTACCTGAACAATTTGTAACTTTGCCTATCCCATTAGCTTTGCTTGTTGGAAGCTGGCACGGAAAGTTGTAAATGGCAATCATGTGATCCTGCAACCAATCACAAGTGCGAGCTGATTGTCATGCATTTGAATTTTGTTCATGTGGCTATGTGGGTTGCTATAATGGCCGAAACTTTGAGCACCAAATACGAATCCTTTCATTCGGTGCTATTATAACTTGCACTGGTCAATGAAAAAATGGTTATGACTTGAGGATTACCACTTATATATGTGTGGGAGAATGACTGCTATATTCTCCAGCATGACGAATGGAGAATCGGATGATCTTGCCTTTCTGCCCTAGAGACTAAGTCAATCAACCTTTGCCATGCCTCTCTTCCCCCGGCTAGGAATCCCCAGTCACGACTTAGTCTTAGCCCAAGAGAGACATGGTGAAGATTGGCTCTTGTTTCTAGCAGAAAGACAAAACTCTGGATTTTCCCTGGTTGTACCCTTCCCTTCCCTTCTCTGGGCTGATATTAGCGCTGCTTTTCAAACTGCTGAGTGTCAGAGCGGTTTTGTAGGCTTCGGCTGAAGCCTCAAGCTAATTATAGCTTCCAGGCAGGCAGAAGTGTAGTGGTTGCCATTTTGAGTGCCGCTTTTATTGTTCCTGAGTGGAGCGGGTGCTGCTTCTCCAATTCCAGGCTCCTTGGCAGCTTGCAGCATACCAAGGCCATTACAATTAGAGGCAACAAAAACAGCCTTCTTCACTGTGTCTGGACGCAATTTCCAAAGACTTCAGGGCGTGGCTGAGTGCCCGCTTTAATTGCCGCAGCGCCTCTTCCCACCACCGATTTTGCTGTTTATAAGTGTGCTGGCTATCCCATTAAGTTGGTTTTGCCACCACTACCAGGATTGTGAGTGTGCTGACTATCCCATTAAGTTAGTTGTGCTGCCACCACTTCTAACCACAACTTGACTCCTTGCTAGGATCACCTCTCTGTTACAAACACTTTGAGATTGCCATTTCTGTGATATCTCTGATTTTGCAATGGCAGATAAAACCACAGAAGCTCAGATATCTCAAGGCGCCTCCAGCAGTTCCTCCAGGTACCAGAAATCCAGATCAGCCAAGCAGGAGGCTGCTGAGAAACTCAGATCCAAAGCTATCTCTTCCGAAGCTGCTGAGAAGGAAGCAAGCAGGAGGCACCAGGCATTGGAAAAACAATTCTCCAAAGCTGCAAGGCAAAAGAATGATCCAAAGGTTGGTCAGATTACTTCTGTTCCCAAGGAGGCATCGGGTTTTGGCCCTCAACAAGCTCCTTCAACCTCTGCTGCTCCAAGTGCCTGGTCTCCAGAAAGGGAAACAAGTCAGTTCATATTTCCCATGGCAGAACAGGTGGAGATGGTTCCCCATTCCAGTGAGGGGCTTGGCCTTCATATCCCTACTCCTCCGGGTACAGCTAGACCTCTGGGCCCAGAGGCCACATTCACTCCTACAGCAGCAGGGCTTCGCCCTCCAGAGGCTCAGGAGACAGAATTATTAGAACGAATGCAGCTTCTGATTTCTCAGGCTATTGCCCAAGGTGTAGCTTCGACCCTACGCCAGAGAGCTCGATCTGAGTCGATAGCATCAGGGATTCCATCTCACAGCAATGTATCGTATCTCTCCCAGGCGGAAGCAGCCACATACCAAGGGCCAGTGTCCCCCTCCAATTCCTCCATGAGTAGAGGGTCGTTCATAGGGGACGACGAACAGACAGAACAGGGGATGTCAGAAGATGAGAATTTATCCCCTGATCCTTCTCCTTTCATAGGCCTGTTTAATCCGTCCCTCTTTAAATCCCTACTTCACAAGGCCAGGAGCACTGCTCAAATTGGTTCTGAGGAGGCCCCTCAGGCTGAACCTTCCACCAGCCAGGGACCTACCAGTCAGGTCTTTTCAGAACCCACTTTCACTCAGCAGGACATTCCCTGTCCTCCCCTATTCCTTGACGTAGTCCAAAGACAATGGGGGACGCCTGGTACTTTTCCATCCCCGGGGGAAACTGACAAAAAGTTGTTTAATGTGGCTCCAGCACTGTCAGAGTTGCTAGCAGTCCCCACGGTAGATGAGCCATTAGCACCATTGGTATCCTCCTTCACGGTGTCTGGAGATACAGCAGAGGCTTTGAAATCAGAGGATAAGAAAGCGGAGCTTAATTTCCGCAGGACTCATCAAGCCTCAGCATGGGCGGTAAAGGCAGCTGCATCTACTTCCTTTTTCGCCAGAACTTCGCTTCTCTGGCTCCACCAATTGCAAGCTAGGGTCCCGCCAGAAGAGGTACGGATGCACCAAGACTTAAACAAATTAGTGGCTGCATCAGAGTACATGGTGGACTCATCCTTGCACGCGGCCAGATTTTCCTCTCGGGCATTAGCGTCTAATATCACCTCTCGGAGACTTTTGTGGCTCCGACAGTGGCGAGCGGATGCTAAGTCCAAGTGGCAGTTGGCCTCAGCCCCTTACATGGGAGGCCAATTATTTGGAGAGGCACTAAACCCTTATCTGGTTGAGAATGAGGATAAGCGCAAGGTCATGTCCCATCTTATTAGGAGCGCAGACAGGAGAGCTACCCCTTACGCACACAAGCAGTCCTTTTGCCCCACCGACACAGGGTCAGAATTCACTAACAGGGACAGGTCCAGACAGCAATTTCAGACCAAACGGCCCTTTCGAGGGATGGGAGGTCGTCCTTTTAGGCGGTCCAAGTGACAGCGAGGGTGCCCCTCCCATAGGGGGCAGGTTGGCTCTCTTTGCACACAAATGGGAGGCCACTACTATAGATCTCTGGATCCTCAACACCATCAGATTCGGCCTGACTCTAGAGTTCAACTCTACCCCCGAGGCATTTCGTCTCTTGCCCATCATTCAAAAATCTGGTCAAAAGAAGCCTCATGAAAGAGGCCATTCGACATCTGGAGATCCAATCCATAGAACCCGTACCGGCAGGACAGAAGGGATGGGGTTTTTATTCCATTCTGTTCATTGTTCTGAAGGCCTCGGGAGGGTGGAGAGCAATCCTAGATGTAAAGAAATTAAATATCCATTTGGCATACAAGAATTTCAAGATACAAACACTCCAATCCATATTAGCAGGCATCAGAAGGGGGGACCTCCTCCTCATCGACTGTGGAAGGGCGGCAGCTCCTTCCGCGGTCCGAGATTGCTCCTTAGGGCCGACGAAGAAAAGATCTGCCAGTAAAATGCCAGTAACTTTGAATTTACAAACCGACCTCCAGACTTCATTTGACTAACCTAAAGACCAAAAAACAACAGAAGAGGATTCAATCAATACCCAAGAAGATTCTACGCCATTCTGTATACAGCCTATTGAGACTCTTGATGATCAAAAAGTGACTTTAACTAAACCATATACAATTTCAAAAGTAACAGGAATGAACGCGCAAATACAATTTATTAAGAACTATGACAATTTTGACAACCAACTACTAACCACAAAATTGGACATAATTGAATGTCTTACTCAGCAGAATCAAATGTCGAGAGTTGAATTTTTAAAGCAACAAGGGATCAATTACAAAGGAGTCATGTTCCTAAAACAGAAGATGGGACGTTTATTTTTTTTTACTCAAATGATACCACAAGGAATAAATAGAGATTTATTTGTTGATATAGACGCTCTCTTATGGAAACCTGCTTGGCACAAAAAGAAAGAATA